TGAACTTAACCTCGACTTGGTGACAACAAAGGAGGTGATGAACAACACAGACAAAGAAAGGAAAAGAAGAGATCAGACCTCGCCCTCATGGCCTCTTCCAGATGGTTATCAAGATAAGAGTCACACAACAGTTCCCGTGCCTGGGCACACTGCCCTAGCACGACAGTTCACAGAATAAATCACAGGTCTTCTACCCTCATAACCGACTCAGTAGATGACTGAAATACTCAATGAGTCAACCGTCAAAAGAGGTCGGTTTGGGATCGCCACTTGGGGTCGCCAGGTGATCAGGCCAGAAAACCAGAGTTGGGGGTGGCTCCCAGGTGTGGAGCCTTTTACTCTTTAAAGATTTCTTTGTTTCCAAGTTGCAAAGCTCAAAAGGAGACAAGAAAAGGGCCACTGTAACTGTAAGACAGACGAAAGAAATGGGTCCATTACCTTGAAAATGCCCCCTGAACCTAGGGCAGCGTCTACCCGTCGTTCCTAGTGTGGGGTTCCTATAGCAAGGCGTGATGGGGGCGTCCCCCAGCATTGCATCCCTTGTATACCTTCCCTGTTATGCCTGGCAGTAACAGGTGCCTGGTGAAAAGTCCCCAAGAGAAAAGGAGAACTTTAAGAGAGATGAAAGAAAAGGAGCCATTACCTTGAAAATCCCCCAATTGGGGTTCCTGTAGCAAGGGATGATGGGGGCATCCCTTGAACATCTTCCCTATTCTGCCTGGCAGGAATAGGTGCCTGGTGAACGGTCCCTGAGAGAAAGGGAGCCATTACCTTGAAAATCCCCCCAGTGGGGTTCCTGTAGCAAAGGATGATGGGGGCATCCCTTGAACATCTTCCCTATTCTGCCTGGCAGGAATAGGTGCCTGGTGAATGGTCCCAGAGAGAAAAGGAGCCATTATCTTTAAAATCCCCCCAGTGGGGTTCCTGTAGCAAAGGATGATGGGGGCATCCCTTGAACATCTTCCCTATTCTGCTTGGCAGTAATAGGTACCTGGTGAATGGTCCCCAGGATAAAGGATAGAGAAAAACAGTAAGCAATTTTCCGCCAGTCTGGGGGACATTCTACCCAATTGCATCCTGGAGCCATTCTCCCAAGAAGGGGTTCCCATACTCAACCAAAGTTTAGAATTTGGTACTTTCCTTGAACTGGAGTCCCGATTGGGACTTTCCCGCAGTTTGGAGTGTGGTCAGGTGCCAGAAGGAGGGAGACCAATCCAGCCTTAGGAAAACAAACCTTCCATGGGAGTCTTGGAGAGTGGCGACCATCCTAATGACTTAAGTGGCCGACTCGTGCCCATGTAAAATTTATATATTAGAGATAGAGTCAGGAAGGAATGGATTAATTCATTCTCCATCACCCTGAGGCTTAAGGTACTGATTCTCTTCAAGCTGAATGCCATGATTTGCCCCATAGAGTAGCCATGGGCAGCAAACGTGGATTCATACAGCCGTCCAAGAAAGTTCCCGATGGAGAAGTAAATTTAGATCCATCCACAAAAAAGAGAAAGGCACAAGGAAAAAAGGGCACTTACCAGAACTTGAGCTCACAAGCCTATGAAGCAAGTTCCCCGTACGGGCCACCAGAAATGATGCGGGGTCGGTGAGCCGAGGAGTCAAAAGAAAGATTTCTTGGACTCTCAAGATCTGGCGGTAGTGCTCTTTTATTTAGAGACTAGTGTGGAATAGCATGGGGACAGGACCCATGGGCAGGCAGAGCTGCTGCGTGGGGACAGGACCCACGGGCAGGAGGAGCCGCTGCTGCTGCTGTTTCTGCTGCAAACATGGGTGGAGAGTAAGTCAAGGATTCGCGGAATAAATGCATGGTTTCCTTGTAGGCGGGCCGCTGCTTATTTCCTCTCTGTGTCCACCTTCCACTTTCAGTCTCAGATGTCACTGAAGAAAAAGGTTCCCCATCAGGCCTTCATGGTGTCACCCAACTCCACGGCACCCCCGTCACTGTGCTGTAGAAGACCAAGCATATATAATGAAGTAAATCCCCTCGAAGTCTTGGGGACTGCCAGACTTCTGATTCCTCATTCTGTGTGTGTGCATGATGCCGGAAAAGCGCCCTCAAGAAAGCTTAGGGAAGACTGAAAAGTAGAGGTTGATTAGCCGAGGCGAGAATGTCTGTCTAATAAATAAGACCTACAGCTGCAGCAAAGTAAGCCAAAGTGATAAGGACAGACAAAGAGAGCCTGGGGAAATGCTGTTGTTAAAAAAATAAAACATAAAAATAAAGGATACATTAACAACCAACCAAAAAACCCCCAGCAGACTAAAAAGAAAACTTGCGTCATTTTCTCCCCCAGAATATCATCATTATTAAAAGAGGGTGTTCTGAACAAAAAGAGTGATGTAACTACATGACCAACATTTTTTGATTGCTTTCCTTTATCTTAAAAAGATAAGTGGACTAAAGTGGATAAAGAGCTCCATATTGGGCAACTTGATCACTTTTCTCCTGTACTGAACAGGGCCTGCCAAGAGCAGGAAATCCAACATTTACAAAGCTTTCTTTTCTTACTCTTCGAGAACTGCTCATCGTTCAGGGGGCTGCCTGTTAAAAGATATATAAACGACCAGTTACGAAATATTATCTAGTATACATTTTGTATAACTTTGTAACAGTTAATGATCTAAGCAGAGGACAATGTCTCCACATCTTCCTTTTTATCTTATACTTTATTTAAAAAATCTTCTACCACATAATTTTACATTTCCTCTTTCACATCACTTGCTCTATATCTTACATTCCTTTTGTACCTTTGCCCTCCTACTTGAAAAAAGGCCCCAATCTCCTTCATGTTTTGACCACAAACTCTCCTTTCTCTAATGATGTACATTTTCTGTGCAGCTGCTTTCTGTCTGTCTCTGGACTCTGTCCACTGAGCCTCTTTATTCACTGTGCAATGAGCTGTCATCTGTGTAATTCTAAGTTCTATTTTCCATGTTAGTTGCATCCCCTCATTTATGTTTTTCAGCATAGATTTCCAGCAAGAAGTTCATCTCAATAAAAGTAATAGTTTTAATAATGTTTAAAAGATTAAACAAGCATTGAATAAAATTATGCAACCTGTAAATCATTTAAAAGTACTCTGTTAATGTAATTTTATTTTTTTCCCAAAACCCTGTACAAGGCCACACCTCTCTGAAGTAGAGGATTTGCTCTCTGAGCTCCTTTCCCCCCAGCTGCTCTGGGCTCCAGAGGCATGTTTCTAGTCCCAGCTACTATGCAAAGGGATCTGTTTCTAACATTCCTTAGCTGCTTTAGGAAGAAGAAAAAGCTGCTGCTAAAGCTAGGTTGTGTGCCTTCTCATATTTACAGGTAACAAACAATTCACAGAAAACATGCAGATGAGGGGCCGGCCTGGTGGCGCAGCAGTCAAGTTCACTGGTTCTGCTTCTCGCTGGCCTGGGGTTCTCAGGTTCGGATCCTGCATGTGGACATGGCGGCGCTTGGCAAAAAGCCATGCTGTGGTAGGTGGCCCTTCTATAAAGTAGAGGAAGATGGGCATACATGTCAGCTCAGGGTCAGTCTTTCTCAGCAAAAAGAGGAAGATTGGCAGTAGTTAGCTCAGGGCTAATCTTCCTGAAAAATAAAAAACATGCAGAAGAGCAGAAAAGAGAAATCTGTTCCTAGGGGCTCTCTGATTATTTAGATTAGAACCCAAGAATGTGCTATTTACTGATTTGCGTGTTTGGCCAACAGGGGCAGGGAATTGAGGGAGAAAGTAAAGGAAGTAACTATAAATGTCGGGGGGAGCTGCTACATCCCTCAACGATATTCCCTGTTGAAGTTCCTCTGGCCTAAGGCAAACTTTGCTTTGCTTTTTGCCCCAACTCAGGAGAGGTCTCTCCTTTTAACAACATGCTAATTATAATGGACAATAAATGATAATTTATGGGTGATTGAGTCTCTCGGAATCTTCATTAAAACAACAGCACAATTGCAACCTCTGGAGGAACGCTATTATAATTATTAGATATTTATGTGCCCTTGTCAGTGCGCACAGGGAAGTTTTTCTTTTTTTTTTTTAAGTCCCTTCATTGAACACTTATTTGCTTTTATTACGGAAAAATTTCAAGGTACACAAAAGCAGGAAGAATACTATAGCGAACCCTCTTGTACCCATTACCCAGATTCAACAACTCAACTTTTTTTTTTGCCAATCTTGTTTCACCCATCCTCTCCATTTTTTCCTTTTGGTCGGAAAAACTTTAAAGCAAATACCAAAGATGATAGCATTTACTCGTAAATATTCTAGCAAGCACACTGAAAATTTTATAATAACTTAATTGGTTATGGCAAAATGGACCCGCAGGACAAAACAAAAAAGGAACGCAGAAAACTCTCCGGTGGTGGAAGGGGTCACAAATCTTATCTAGCTGTTCCGGGTCTTGCGCGGGGAGAGCCACAGCGGCGCTGCTCGAGGACGCGCGGAGGACGCAGGATGGAAGAGACCCCAAGGCCAGAGCGGCGCATTCCTTGAGGCGGCCCCCCAGGCATGCGCAATCCAGGCCCCAGAGTTGCTAAGGCCCCAAGGAAGACAGAGGCGCAGGATACGGCGAAAGCCAGTCAGAGGGCTCCAAGACTAACCCGTTAGCCAATCCGGGTTCGAGAGTGAATCACAGCCCCCGCATTCTGGTCGCCTCACCAGTAGCCAATCCGAGAGCCGGGTCATTTGGGCGGACTTTTCAAAACAGCGAAAACAAAACAAATCGGGGACCTTTAAAAGGTGCAATGCGACCAGAAACTGTCTCCTTCCGCTCCTCAACCCTATCGTTCCCATTCCTTCCCCCTTGGATCAATCGCAGAATAAAGCCGACGCCCAGATTCCACCCTCCGCCTTGGAACCGAGAGGGAGGAGTGGCTCTGCGAAGCAAAGACGAGCTGGAAAGGCCACAAAACCGGCGGGGACAGCGGCTTAGAAGGGACTCTTTTTCAAAGTCTCTTGCGACAGCGGCGGATCCCTCCGCGGGGAATCACGTGCCCCGCCCCTTTGGGGGCGTCGAAAACTCAAAACAAAAACAAGGGTTTTGCTCGGGCCTCCGCTGTGGCGGCGACGGCGGCGGCTGGGGCGCCCCGGAGAGGGCCAGAGCTTCAGGGGCCGGCGCTGCGCCCCAGCCGGAGGGTGGGCACGCCGTGAGCAGGATGAAGCCGGGGCTGTGAGGCCGAGGCGGCGGTGGCAGGGGGGAAGGGTCGGATGTCGGTCCGGGGGCACCGCTGAGGCGCGGGGCCCCGACCTCGGAGACAGCTCCGGACGCCCCCGGCTCGCCCAATCCCCTCCGGACGCGACGCCGCGGGCCGGTGGAGGCGCGTCTCCGGCACGGTGAGTGGGCCCAGCCGGGATCGCGGGGGTTTCTTTGTTCGTGGTCGGGATTGGCGCGCGCACGGGGCGGGGGATCAGAATGCCCACCCCTCGTCCCGGCGTGCGACTCGGGTCCAGCTCTCAGCTCAGCCTCGGGAGTGGGCGCCCGGAGACGGAGAGACGCTGGTGGGCTGGATGGAGAGGCGAGGAGGCTGAAGACAATTCTCTGGTGCTCCCCCCGCCCTGCGCTCTTCATGTCACGGCGGCTCGCCAGGGTGGTGCGGTGGGATTGACGGCCCCGGGGCATCAGTAGACGGAGGGGTGCTGTCTGGGCACGGGGCGGGCTGGCCTTCTGCCCCCCGACCGGTGGGCCGCGCCACCTCCTCGCTCTCGGACTGGGGTCTCTGCCACTCGGCTATATCCGGAGTAGGCACTGCCGCCGCGGGTGGGAAAGGCTTGGGGGCTGGACTCCAGTGAGAGGGGCTTCTGGAGCCGGGTCCCCGGGAGGGGCGGGGCTCGGGAGTCTCCTCCCTCCGCTTCTTTGTTCGGTCGCGAGACTTTCTCTCCCCTCCCCCCTATTGTGCAAAGCCCCGGCCCGCAAAACCGGCTGCGGCGGCTGCCCCCGGTGCATCCCGCGGGCCGGAGGCCCTCCCCCCCACGGCTTCAGGTGGGGCACACCGTCCGGACACCGCCGCCCGGGGACAGTTTCCTGTTTGTGAAACGGCCGGGAGGCCCGGGCTGGCCGGTCTGACCCGGCGCAGGCCGGCGGATGTGCGCACGGCCCCTCCCCCTGCCACACCTCCCTGGCGGTGGGAGAGGGTTGCGCCGGGGTTCTGGAGGACGTGACGGATCCCCTCGCCCGCTCCTCGCCGGGGAGCGCTGGGGCGCCCTCGCTGGAGGTATTGGCACCAGCTCTTTTCTGCCCTCTCCCCCTGCCCTCGCCACCCCCAGGCTACAGTCTTTAACTGTGTGCCGTGTCTTTGCTGCAGATGAAGGATTTGGGGGCAGAGTACTTGGCAGGTCGTGAAGGGGTCCAGCTCTTCGGATTGTTGAGCCTATACCTCGAACAGGAACAGAGATTCCAACCTCGAGAAAAAGGGCTGAGCTTGATCGAGGCTACCCCGGAGGTAAGTTCTCAGGAAAGATAACTTGCTCGAGCAGCTGATAGGGTTTGAATACCTTTTTCTTTTTCTGAGTTGAATCAAGACCAGAGGCTGCGAAGTTTCTTAAGATTCAGTTGGTCTTCTGGAGGATTAAGAGAAATCTCAATCCAGGCCGTGCTTTCGTTTCTTAGCAGGAACGAGAGTGGTACCAACTCTAGAGAAGTATTTCCTCAAATCTGGCACCCCCAGCTAGGTTTTCTGGGTGGAACACTTCCTGGGATTTGAGCAGTTCATTTGTGGAAGTACACTCTGCCTGAAATACTTACAGTATAAGTATGAAATACTTATTTATAGTAGGATCTTAAATGATTTTGTTAGAAAAGTAAGGAATTCTGTGACAAGGGAGTTGAATTATATTTGCTGTGACTCTCTGGAACCCTCTGTGGCAGCAGTCCATTTTATCTTGAATTGCTGAAGTTCTTTTATGATGTATATTTTAAAAAATCAATGATAATATGCATTTTGTGTATGAAAAATTGTAGTGCTTTAGTTAAATGATACCACTCTTTCCCCCAGGTTCTTGAAGATTAAGAAGAAATAATTGCCTTATTTGTATCTGTGTGTATTATCCATCTAGTTCTAAGAAATCATACGCTTTGGCCCCTGATTTTTATTGCAGAATGATAACACTTTGTGTCCAAGATTGAGAAATGCCAAAGTAGAAGATTTAAGAAGTTTAACCAACTTTTTTGGATCTTGCACTGAAACTTTTGTTCTGGCTGTCAATATTTTGGACAGATTTTTGGCTCTTATGAAGGTATTTAATCATTTTTATAAATACATCCTTATTTTTCTATCCCCAGTGCTTAGCACAATGCCTAGTATACGAAGGTTCAATAAATATTTGGCAAATGAATGTAGTTATGTCACTATACATAAGCATTTTTAATAATCCCAGAATTGTGATCTTTAGTGCCAGACTGACTACAAAATTAAGCGTATCGTTGTATCTTAAGTTAGGTTTTGCTGTACCTCCTACATACCGTGTCTGTGAAGAGGTGACAAAACGCAGACTACGGTATTCTCCATATATGTGTACAGTACGTGCACAGTGCTCAAAAAAAGGTTTTCGTATTTTCGTCTTCCATCATGTTTCTGTTGGAGCCTTGGTGTTTTTAATGCTGAAACATGACAAATGGAAGTATAATGGTATGTTAAAAGGTAACCTTCTGCCTTGCATAGAAGTCTTTTCAAAGCGGGGAGCCACAGTCTGATTAACAATTACCAACAACTGTTAGAAAAATGTGGCGATTCTTCTGCCAGTAGGATTGCTGTCAGCTGCTGGGTCAGTTTTCAGGGCACTGAAAAGGGCAGCCATCTGTCCACGGCAGCTTTACATATGCCCCACTCTGCGCAAGTAATGCAGTATTTCTCTTGGGCAGATTTGCATTGAAGTATGGGATGATTTTTAAAGATAAATAGATAAGAAGAAAAAAAGATAAGCAGAATGTATTATTTTTATATCCAAAGAAGTAGTGTGCTTTCTTAGTTTTGAAAGACTTAATTTATTTTGGGAGAGCTTATACTATTATGAATTTCGTATGTTTGAAATACAAAGTATAACTCAGTGTTAGAAACCTAGCCTTTCAACTTGCATTTAAATCTTTTGCCTGCATTTAAATTAAATAATTTAAATGCTCAAAATGGCTTTTTTTTTGAAGGGAGATTAAGATAGTTTAAAATGATGAAGTATAATTGTGGGTAAGTATAAGTACAGGGAAGCAGCTTGACTGTGTGGTCTTAAGAGTCGGGGCATCGTTCTGTCGTGTCTGCTTTGCTAAATCAAAGTGACAATAGTTAGAAGAAGCCTTCTGTTTGTTTTTCAGGTGAAACCTAAACATTTGTCCTGCATTGGAGTCTGTTGTTTTTTGCTGGCTGCTAGAATAGTTGAAGAAGAATGCAATATTCCATCCACTCATGATGTAATCCGGATTAGTCAATGTAAATGTACAGCTTCTGACATAAAACGAATGGAAAAAATCATTTCAGAAAAATTGCACTATGAATTGGAAGCTACTACTGCCTTAAACTTTTTGCACTTATACCATACTATTGTACTTTGTCATACTTCAGAAAGGTCAGTGGTATTTAAAATAAAAATTTTGTACTTTAGCATTGCTATAGCTAACAGTAAAGAATTAGAATGCCAGTGAAATTTATATTTTTACCCCCTCCAAACTTTCAACTTGGACTTTTAATGGCAAGTCCTTAAAATCATTTAAATCTTTGGAGGTTTAATAAACATTTTGTCCTTTCTTTTCCTTGTATAGGAAAGAAATACTGAGCCTTGATAAACTAGAAGCTCAGCTGAAAGCTTGCAACTGCCGACTTACCTTTTCAAAAGCAAGAGTAAGTCGATTTCTTGCTTATACATGTCTTATAGTTTCTAGTTTGAATTTTAAAAAGATATTTATTTTTCTTTTTTTTCTTGTAGCCATCTATATTAGCTTTGTGCCTTCTCAATTTGGAAGTAGAAACTTTGAAGTCTCTTGAATTATTGGAAATTCTCCTGCTTGTTAAAAAACATTCCAAGGTAATATCTTCAGTTCTTAGTCTTTAAAGCAAGTTTCCTTCGTAGTGTTTCAGTTTTTTAATGTGGTGACTTACACATTAAGTAATGGTTTATAAGTCTCTTAACTTTACTCATTTTTTCTTTTATCTGAAGGGGTAAAGTTCTCAAAATGCAGCTTTGACCCAAACAGTGTTAAGGTGGAAGGGAACCTATTCCCTTAGCCTGTCTTCTTTCTGCATTCAGACGGACCTCTGTAGTATTCTTGCCAGTTGGTAATAGAGCACTTTACATTGCCACATGCGCATTGTTCTAAAATGCATACTAAGAAGTAGACTTAGTAAATACACTGATGGCATCCCATTATATCTGTAGGGCTGAATCATCATCCCATTAGTAGTATTTCCAAAATAACGTCAGCTATGTTTTTCTTTTTAAACCCGTTAGTCAGGCTGGCCCAATAATTTCTTGCAGTCATAAAGAGGTGTGAAACAAATAAAAGCACAGTCCTTTTTCTTCAACTAATAGTCTAGTTGGAGAAATATGGAACTTAACATGAGGCAGTGTGTTCTGTCATTTATTATTCTGTGTCTCAGTGCCAGATAATACTGAACACGGAGTACTTTCAGGGTTTCAGTAGCAGAGAAGGAGGGCAGACCATGAGAGGTACTATGACTGGGAGACTGGGGTTGTTCCAAAAGAATCTTATTGAAAGTTTGGGCAGCAAAGGCTTGTGGCCAGGAAGTGGTGGACAAGAAGGCTTTTGGAATCATTTTAGGGTAGGTTTGTAGATAGAACGTCTAGGTGATAGTCACAAGCAGGATTAAGGATAGCCAACTCAAATAGTGGTTTTGGAAGCAAAGCATGGAAATGAGGCAAGGAGTCATAAATGACCAAGATTTGGACCTAATGCTGGAGAGAATATTGGAAATTTGAGGGAAATTCGAGAGAAGTTAATTTGTGATCAAAGAAGCATGATTTTAGGTACTTGTATACCATCTAGGTAAGTAGTAGATATTTGGCAGTCTGGAATAAAAACTCAGAAGATGAAACATAGGTGGAGATTGGGGTTTGAAATTTCTCGTGAGGAGTTAATAGTTGAAACCATAAGAAGCTTGTGGAGCCCTTTGCTTTAGGGGTCAGTTAAAATTCTGGGTTTTCAGCATTGGTCTTGCCCCATTAGGAGCCAAGTGAAGGAAGGTGTTCTGGACAAGTAAGAGCGCTGTCAGTTTGGGAGGAGGTTTTCAAGAAGGCTGTGGCCAAGAGGATTGAATTTTGATCAGAGGCCCAGTGTGATGAGAATTGGAGGAGGTCATTGGATACCTAGGAGGTGAGAGTAGAATGAGAAGGGTGTGGTAGAAGCCAAGAGTGCAAGGGGATTAAGATGCAGCTGGATTAGGTGGAAATGGAGGCCGAGATGATAGAAAATTTTCTGTTTGTGGTGGAGGTACATGCACTGTGAAGCATGGTTTTTTAACAGATTTCTTCTGGCTTTTGTTTTAATCATGCATTTATTAGTTTTAATCTAAGCCTTTTATGTTAATTTTATCTGGAAACGTCTTCAGTGAAAATTGATTCCTTGAAATAAATTGGGGCATTCCGCAGTAGTGGAGGAACTATGCCCTTTTGGGGAAATTCCTCTTCTCTCATATTGCTAACTTCTCCATTATTACATGTCTGATGTCTGAATGCATATTTTTAGCAGTCCAGACAGTTTTAGTGCATATTTGTAGCAATCAAAAGAGTGCTACGTTACAGAAACCTAAATTATACTAAATTATTTTGCAGTGAGACTATTAAAGAATGTATTTGATAATTGATTTATTAACAGACCTAGTGTTTTTAGGTCAGTGTGTTTTCTTAAAACAAGCGAAGCTTTCTATGTATTGAATCCTATGTAAATTATTTCTACCTCTGGTGCTCCTCCCCTAAACCAGAGGTTATGGGACAAAATTCTGACTACATGTTAGCATCACCTGGAGAGCTTTAAAAAGTCTTGATGGCCAGGTCACACATATCAATTAAATAAAAATATCTGGGAGTGGTAGCCAGGTGTCAGTATTTTTTAAAGACAGCAGGGTGATTCCCAGGTACAGCAAGGTTTGGGAACCACTGTTGTAACCTCTTCATTAAAATATTTTTTTCAGGTTAACGACGCTGAGTTCATTTACTGGAGGGAGTTAGTTTCTAAATGCCTAGCCGAATATTCTTCTCCTGAATGTTGCAAACCAGATCTTAAGAAGTTAGTTTGGATTGTTTCAAGGCGCACAGCCCAGAACCTCCACAACAGCTACTATAGTGTTCCTGAGCTGCCAACAATACCAGAAGGGACTTGTTTTGATGAAAGTGAAAGGTAAGCAAGTTCCTTGACTAATTAGATTTCCTCAGACTAAATATTACTGATTTTATACTCAAAATGGAACCATGGAATATTAAAAGGCATCAGAGAAAGCCCCTACTCTAATAGCGTCATTTCTTCAGGTAAGAAAATTAACTAGAAGGAGTTAATAATTAAAATAGGTAATAATTTGGAAATGTACCTCTTCCCCCCATTTTTTCCTTCATTTAGAAAAAAAGCCAAAACACCATGCTATACATTACATTCCCAGGACTTTTATAGCTGGAAATTTGTACCTTTTTACCACTTTCAGCTATTTCGCCCACCCCCCTATCCCCCACTTGTGGCAACCACCAATCTGTTTTCTGAATCTGAGTTCTGTTTTTAGTTTTTAAGTTCCACATATAAGTGCGATCATACAGTATTTGTCTTTCTCTGACTGACTTTACTTCTTCCTTTTTTAAAAACCAATTGTTTCCCATCTCCCTTGCTCTTTGAAATACAGTTTGGTTAAAAAAAAGAAACAGAAACAGCATTCCGGGCTTTTTAATGTTAGTATGAAGTGCTAATATGGTACTATGAGAAGGGGCTGCAGGTTAAATGACTAGAAAATAAAGGGAAGCACCACCACTAATGTGGCAGACTTCTGTAGCTGTTTTTATAGTTTTGTCACATGCCATTGTCTTACTCAGAGTTTATTTTTGTTTGTAAAATGAATTTTATTAAATATGATTGTTTTATGTTATAGAGATAAAGGACTAGAAGTTCCATTTTCATAGTTTGTTGGTTTCTTGGTTTGGTATTTGAGAATATCAGTGATGCAATTACTGCTGTAAGAAAGACATCAAAACCATGTGATAGGAGATATGTTGTCCTTAGTTTGCATTTATTGGATTTAAAAAATACTTAGAATTCTACTATTAGTTGCTGATAGTGTTATTAATAGGTATACGAATAGTAGTTTGGCACAGAGTTATTTGTTTAAACCTCTTAAGGACATCTGTATTTTTTAAGGAGATTACAATAGACTTCATTTTAGGAAGTCTTTATAAGTTAAGTTGTGTGTCTGTAAACCTGAAATTTTAAATGTAAAAATCTGAGACTAGAGATACTCGTTTAGCAGTTCTATTTTGCCTGTTAAGCATTTAAGTGTATTCTACATAATGGAACCCTCTTCTTTGTGTCCCTTTTTCCTTTTAGTGAGGACTCTTGTGAAGACATGAGTTGTGGAGAAGAGAGTCTCGGCAGCTCTCCCCTCAGTGACCAGGAGAGCACTTTCTTTTTCAACTTCAAAGTGGCACAGACACTGTGCTTTCCATCTTAGAAATCTCATTGTTCTGTGTGAGAATTTAAACTGTGTACAGGTTTCAAAGCAATAAATGGAGGAGTGGGTAGTTGTCTGGTCCAGCCCCCAGCTAGGCCGGAATTGCATAGACTGGAATTACCTACCTTCTATTTATTATTCAGATCAGATCTGGCCTATTTTCATGTTTAATTCTAAGCCATCAAATGGGTTAGTGCCTCTTAAACAATTAACAATACTTCAGACATCGGCACTTTATTTTTCTTGTTGCTCTTTAGCTACTTGGGGGAGGAGGGAAGGTGCTGATACCTTGAATTCCTTTCACTTCAAGAAGATTTTTAAAGAGGAATAGTGTAGCTTATTTTAAACTTTTATAAAGCCTTCAGGTGTCTATTTAAACAGATTGGGAGTGTGCAAGTGCTTCCTTAGCAGGGACAATGGATAATCCTTTAATGGTTTATCTTAGATCTCCCCCCTCCCCCCATTCTCAGAACAGAGAATATACTCTTAAATGTCAAACACGCTTTTTGTTGTTTATTTTTAAAATGATCAATGCATTTTCTGCTAGTTTTGCATGTCCTTGTCTGAAAGCAGTGCAGGAAGTTGAACAGAACTAGGTAGCTATGGAATTGGTTGATAAATGTTGATCTAGTAGCATATTTTAGCTCATTTTCTTATATTAAAAAAAGTCTGCATGACTGTGTTTTATTTCCTTTGTAATTCACATTTCAAAAATAATGTTATTAGTATATGAGTGCCAAGATTGAATATGGAGTAAAAAAAAAAAAAACTAAGTGTAGTGTTACAGTTTTAAGTATATCTGTGTGGTGGTACAGCCATAATAATAAAGATTTATAGACTCTGTACACATGAGATTTTGTGCAGAGAATTTTTTAACTTTATAAACTGTATATGAAAATGTAAATCTTTAAAAGTGTACATAAAAATACTGTATTCTTTTACCGTGTGTGATAGTCTAGTCATTGCATGAAAATAAAATTTATTGTGTATTCTGTATTATAAATCATATATTGATGACTTACTTTTTTCTACTGGTAAGTCAACATCCATTGGATGTTTTCTGAAGTGGATCTTTTTGAAGTAATAATAGATTACAACTCAAAATAAAAATTTTGATGACTTGTACTCCTTGTTTGCAGTCACATCATTTTTAATTTCTTGGTAAAAGAAAAAGTGCTGGTTGTGTTTCAACGGGAAGGCTTGAAGTGGGGCTGAAGTGCCTCCAGGATAAGCCCTCTATCTGGTCACCAGAAGTCCTCTAGGTATGACTTCCTCACCATAGTTTGGCCCTTAGCCTTGGAGATATCGAAAGTGAATCTGTCACTTGAGAATTGACCTCTCTCTGGAGTGGACTCATAATTAAACAGAAGAGTGATATATTAACCTGAATGCCTGTTAGTTTATAGTGCAAAGCAGCAGGTATCAGGTAGACCAAAATACTCAGGTTAACAGATCAGTAGTCTGCAGACAAGCCAAATTCTAATCAGAAGGTTGCTTGGTGAGTAAGCACTAGGGGTGTTAGCTGTGCCTGGACCCTGCCAGCTTCTGGCTCTTTTCCAAGCCTTAGGTTTGCTTTGCAAGTCGTGTTTTTTTTTTCTTTTGGATGTTCCTCATCTATTTGATTTTGTATACCGTTGTTTTCTCTAATTGCTTAGAAACTCAGATATACCGGATATGGTTTTCAGGTAATACCTCTTCTCCCCTGGAGTTAGGGCATGTTTTCTACTCTCTCAGTGGAGAATCTGTTTCAGTGACCCTCCCTCTCATTAAATAATTTTGGTAAATAGTAGATAATCTGCTTTCAGGTTTTGATTTGTTGAGATGAAAAGTTACTTGGGCTTTCCAAATCTTGAAACCGTCTTAGTTGCTCTAGGGGTTTATTGCTTTTCTTACTAGATAACTCGGTGTGAATCTGTCCACAGGTGGCTTCATCTGTTTCCCTTTCTGGTTTTCAATATATTTAGACCTCTATCCAGCTCCCAACCTGTTTATTCACAACTAGCCATCCCACTTGGAAGTTTCTGATTACTCCCAAACCTGCTCTTCCTATGTGTCTATTTTGGTGAATAGGTAGATATTCCATCTACTCATGTTGGAAACAGGTGATATCCTCGTTTCCTCGTGCCTGGTTACTGGAGCTCACTGTTTATCATTTATACTGTATCTCTCTGCCCGTTTCTGCCACTGGCTTGGGTCAGACCTGCACTCTTCATGAGCAGGGTTACTGCAATGTCTTAGTGATCTCTCAGTCGCCAGGCTTACTCCTGATTCTCTTGCTGCCTGGATATCGTTTTAAAATAGGCAGATTATCTCTCTCCTGAAAAAGTGTTCTGTAGGTACCTCTCAATCAGGATAAAATCTGTAACATGACATACAAGTCTCTTCCTAATCAGACCACTGCACCTGACTGGCCATTTTTTCTTGCCATTTCCTAGGGCTAGAAAATGTGTGTTAAGAAAGTTAACTGGCAGTTGTGTGGCAAAGAGCTGGAGCAGGTGGAGATGAGTAACAGAGACCGGTCAAGAGTCCTGCAGAAATCCAAGAGGTGATGAAGGACTGAATTAAGGCAATTGGCAGTGGGGTGAGGAAGAGCCGATGGAATTGAGAGGCACCTTTGCCTTCTCTTGAGGCATTATTAGTAGACTCATAGACAAGTCCAGGAGTCTGTTATGCCCTCCTTGGGCCATTCATCCAGGTGCTTTCCCATGATTGTGATGAATAAAATTGAGTATCAAGCCTCTTGCCTCATTCAGAGCAGAGGTTAGGAGAAGGCTACCGTTTTGGTCTCATATTTGCTCCTTGATTTGGCAAGAAATTTGGCTTTTCGGGTTTTGATTCTGTCCTTTCTAAGGATGTGGTGTGCACACTTTGCTGCTTCTGCTGGTGTGCGTGCTGAAGTATCGCTGTCCCTGGTCCCTGGGTCTCCACCCATTTGACCCTCAGAAAGTGAGATTGGTCAAATAATGCTTTGTAATTGCCTGTCACGCTCAAGAGTTAATACTCAGGTTAACTGTAGACATGTTGGTTGCTGTAGAATTCTCGTGACTATTTTAACCATTTTCTTTATCTCGGATCTGCCTTTTTCCTTTGATTCCTTTGATTTCAACACTGGGTTCTAATATGATGTTACCCCTGCCTCCCACCTTCCCCTGCACACATGCAAATTGTCAGCTTATTTAAGCAACCCACTTACCAGTTTTTATATGGCCCAAAACCATGTACTCTGCGTTTGTCACTTTTGAACTGAGTTTTTCTAATTATTTGTACTAGAAATGGTCAACAACTTTACTGACCTTGTGATTAGCAAATCAAACTGCATGGTAGATAGTTTCCCAATGGCCCATGAGTCTTCCCACCCCTGTGCATACATGCTGGTCTTCCTATTAAGAGGTGGAGTCTATTCCCCTTAAATTCAGTTGACTTGTGCCTAGCTTTGCCTACTAAAGCGCAGTGGAAGAAGTTCAGTGCATGTCCAAGCAAAGGTTTCAAGAGGACCAGCAGGCAGCTTGCCTTTCATCCTTCTTGGAATCCAGCCACTATGCTGCAAAGAAGCAAGCTGGATTACTGACAGATGAGAGCCCATGTGGAGAGAGGCTCCTGAGGATGAGAGGCCATCTTGGATGTTCCAGCTTCAGCTAAGCTCCCAGCTGAATGCGGGTTGCACGAATATCCTCAGCTAACCCACACAGAGCAGAGGCACCACCCAGCTGATCCCAATCAACCCACAGACTCATGAAAAATAAGAAATCATTGTCTTAGGTCACTAGGTTTTGGGGTGGTTTGTTACACAGCAATAGATAACAGACAGATTGCTTGTTATTTATAGTCAAATGGTGGTTATCTCTGAGTGGCGAGATTACAGGTGACTTTTTAAAATTAAGCTTACCTATAGTTTCTATTTTTTTCTTAAAATGGATTTGAATTATTAGTGTATTGACAGAATAAAGAATGAACTTTAAAAAACACACTCATTATACATCCTTTCTTTGATTAAAATCCTTAATGGCTTCCCATTGCTCCTTATCATCAGGTTCAAACTCCTTACCATAGCTTACAAGACCCTGCAAGAAATCTTTCTGGAACTCCTTTACTTTCCTCTCCTTGTCAGTGCTAATGGTTCCATAAAACTCTTGTTTTTTTTTTTTTTTTATCCTAGAAGTTAATACCTTGCTTGTCTCTCTCCCTTGTTTGCTTACCTTATCTGTTTGATCTGAGAAGTCAAGGGCTCTTTGTCTTTCTTGCTCATTGTTGAATCTCCAGCACCCAGCATGGTATCTGGCCCAAATTCCTCCAACTCCGGCTGTAACTGGTAAAAAATAACTTTAGATTACTTAATATGTTCGAGGCACCTTACATGAATTGTTTAATCCTCACCACAATGCTACTCAACAAGTCCTACTATTAGTCTCGTTTTTCATGTGAAGAAACTAAGGATTAGAGAAGTACTTTAACACAGGTCTGGTAAGTGGCATGGGCTGTAAATTCAAACCAAGCTTGTCTGCCAAACCCTATTCTCTTAGCCACTGTGCTGAACTGCTACCCAAATGTTGATGGCACTTATTACACAGTTGTTGAACGAATGAAATAATAAACGTTTTTATAAAGAAAATCCTACTCATAATACCAGTAAAATAAACCATAGTATTCTCCTGTTGTTCGATTTTTAAGTGCTCTCAGCAAGATAAAGGAAAAATGGCTAAGATTTACAGTTAAAATATCTTTAATCAACCGGGAGCCACATAGGGTAATGTAAAAATTCAATGCAGTATACTGGTAGAGAAGAGGAGGGATTTTAATTTACCCTGGAAACTTCTTTGTACTCAGGCTGTGGGCCCTTCCCAACCCCTGTGTGTCTAGTTCCTTTTACACTTGGGTTATAGTTTATACTTTTGTGTGATCTTGGGTTCCAAGGCCCAGAGTCATTTGGTGTAACGGGGGTGAAACGAAACAATAGAGGACTGTTTTATGACAGGCTTGCTTGCCCTTTGCCTGTTTTACTGTTATTCAACATAGCAATCATCTCCCATTTACAGTTCTGGGATTTTTCCAATAATTATTTCATGTGTCTGTGGTTTATCCCTTTGCCTAAATCTAAGCTTGTCTTGAG